TGAGTGGCTGGTGCAAGGCACGAGCTGAGCCCCGGGGCTGCTGCCAGCAGCCTTGACCCCGAGGCAGGATTTTCTCCACCGTGTCCTCACGGCTCCAGCTCCGTGAATTGGGTTGGTGCTTGTGGCTCACGGCCACATCACTGGAACTGGGGAGAGAGTGTTGGAGCGGTGTGGGCTGCACCTCGATGGGCACACTCCACCCCCAGCGCTGACACGGAGCTTCGCCCGAGCCCCGGGGCGGCAGCGTCAGCGCTGCTGCCTCAGTTTCCCCATCTGCTGAGACGAGATAATGCTCCTCTGCTTGATCCTGCGCTATCTCCCAGGAAGGGTGCAGGGATTAGTTTGCTAATGTTTGCAAGGAGCTTTGAAGATGAAAGCTGTGAACAAATGCCAAGAAGTGCTGAGCTGGATTCTCCTCGCCAAGTAATCGTTTCATGTTCCTGGGACACTTCCACTCCTGCGGATGAAGGAGGGCAGGGCGGGAGCGCCGGCGTGCAGGGAGGGCCGGGAGGCTGACATACCTTCCCAAGACTTGCCCCTCCAAATCTGATCACCCATCCTGTTTGATTCCTGATCAAACTCTGATCCTTCCTGCTGATGCTCAGACCCAGACTGCCTCCCTGCTGCTGGCATCAGCACCACCAGCACCCTGCGGGCCCCAGCACCCCAGGAAACATCACCCTGGGGGGATTTGCTCCCTCTCCCCTCCTCAGCAATGTCTTCCCCCTCTCCAGAGCTTTGGGTGCCCCCGGCAAGAGCTACACTCCCCCCAAGGCCTCGTCTCTCCCAATCTTTCATCCCAGTGTCCCCAGCTCTGCCCCACACTGATGGAAGATGCTCTGGGCTCTGGAGAAGTGCTGGTGCTTGGATCCAGGAGGTGCAAGCAACATGGAGCGGGGACTGGGAAGGCTGGGAGGCAGGAAAGCAGCGGCCAGAGCCAGCAAGGACATCCTGTCCCATCCCCTCTGACAAGGTGTGCCCCTCTCAAAAAGGAGCAGACATCTCATGGCCATGGCCCGCAGCTGGCTCTGGTTCTGCCTCTCCTATCTGTGCACATGGATTTACAGACGCCCCTGCGAGCTCCTTACCAATGATCTCATTGCCCACATGGCCGAGCCTGGTGTGGTCAGCCGGGCCGGGCTCGGCCACGCGTGACACAGGGGTGTGTGTAAACACACAGTGACACAGGTGTGTGTGTAAACACACAGTGACACAGGGGTGTGTGTAAATGCATATGTGACACAGGGGTGTGTGTGTAAACACACGTGTGACACAGGGGTGTGTGTAAATGCATGTGTGACAC